CCCCGCCCCCGCCCCCGCCACTCCCCTTCGCAGACCCTGTTACCAGGGTGGAGGGCTGCCGAGGGCTGCAGGGGCTGGGGCTGATTCTTTATCACGGACCGAGCAAAAATACGCGTAGCACCGAGTGAAAAATTTCACCACGGGTTGCTAGCTAGCCTCGAACAAACCGGGGGGAAAGGCAAAAATGAAAGGTCGTGGATCCGAGGGTTCGCGTTGCAATGGTCTCATTGGGCAGGCAATGTTTAGAATAAGTTTCAAGACTCGGCTAGACGAAAAAAATATAAGCGAAACCACCTTGCCTGCCGGCTGTTACAACGACATTTGCTGCTCCGAACTACAAGCCAGACTTGTCACACAAACGAAACCCACCCTGTTCATTCCCATGAGTGCAAATGATTGCAGTGGGACCGAAACGAGAAAAGTAGTCGACGAGACAGTGAGGATGTAGGATCCACAGCTGGTCACAAGCCGGCTAGGACATGGTCACGGACATGGTCACGGACATGCTGACGGATATGGCGGTGGGCAAGAATGGTACTCACGATGATGATGTCCAGGTTCGGCGTCAGGTGGTCCGGCAGGGTCCGCTTTTGCACCTCCTCTTCCGTCATCCCGTTGAAGCGGTCGTGCTTCTTCCGTTCTTTGAAGTGGCCCACCTTCTCTCCTTTGCCCCCCGTCGCATCGAAAAACTGACCGTCGGCCCTGAGATTCAGAAGAGAGGGAGAGCACCAACATTAATAATGCATGGTGCTGGTGCGTCCTCGCGGACATGCACTGACAAAACATCGAGGGGAGTTATTTAACTTTTTTAACCGGGAAATTAAAATGACTACAAGGGTATTTTACACTAAAATAGATGGGAAGGGAAGTGGTTTTCTTTGTAAGTTTTTTTTTTCTAAAAATCTAGTGGATCTAAATAATCAGAATTTACAGTTGAGAAATTAGTGTTTGGACGTAAATTCTATTTAGATGGATACTTACCCTTCTTCCCCAGGTCGGATTTTCTTTTTCCGTCCTCTTTTCTTTGGAATGGGAGGGAAGGTTCCTCCACACTGAGGTTGCTGGGGAATCATGCCGTGCCCAGGAACAGGTGGAACAACTGACTGCGGGAGAGCTGACATTCCTGATTCTGGTCCTCTTCCTAAGCTTCCGGCCCCCATACTCACATCCTCACTAAAACTGTATGGGTCCACACCACTCATATTGTTGCACTTCATCCCGAAACCACTGCCGCTACTTTGGTAATCAATAAATTTGTTTTCCTTTCCAACTTGCTGCATGTCACTTGGGTAATCGATGAACTTGTGATCCTTTGAAGTCTGCGAGAGCTCAGACGGCGGCTGATAATATGCCTTAGACTCCGTTTTTGGCTGTTGCAGGTGATCCATTTCAGAGAGCGAGTGTCCCAAGGCATGTGAGTGGTTATGGAAGTCTTTTCCGAGTCCCCTTGAATCCAGGTCTCCACATGTCTCATAGCCATCATCATGGGACTCTTGTTTCATAGTATCATATGATGAGAGGCTTAACCTGCAAAATACAACAAAATAAACACAAATGAATGAATTACCTGCTTCCTCCTACAGCATAATATAGCAGGGTTATGATCAAGGCCAAATGCTCAAAGTTGAATTCAAATACAAAATTTGAATTAAACTAGGAAAATGAGACAAAACTCAATTTTTAAATTGAATCAATGATTTTAAAAGTTTTTGATTCTTAAAACAATGGAATTTCACTAAAATAAAGTGAAAATGTCAATAATACTTTGTTTTTGCTTTCCTTCACGATAGGTTAGCCATAGTAGTTTTTAAACTTCGAAAATAAATAGATGAGATTTAAAATATAAATTGTATACATGGCCTCGCTAAAGTTACTTTAGTTCCTAACTTCGTTATCAAACTGACGTAGAGAAAAGATGAATAAGTATTTCGAAGTTCGCGCAACGACGCTTCCGTACCTTTTGAATGAAAACTAATTTTACTATCTGAAGATACTCAAAACCAACATTAACTAGGGTTAAATTGTATATTAGGGTTCCAAAACTGTGGTCTTCATCAAGACATGTAACTGACTCTACAACAGAATTCCATTAAATTGTCTGTCTACAACAACAAAGACGAAAGGTTAGACGTGCACGTCCGAGGTAGTCCTTGAGCAGACGAGAAGATCATTGTTTGTTTACAACACAGGAAGCGCCGCTGCATCTTCTGCTAATGGTACCAACACAGATGAAATGCGCTCGTACATTTTAGTTCTGACGTGACATCCAGTTTCCGCCGAAAATTCGGGAGGCACTGCACTCACATATTACGAATCTTCACCAAATCATTTCGTATCACAGTAAAAAAATCCGTATTCATCTACTTTCCGTCGCGTTCACTTCGCCACATGACTTGTCACTCACTGTTTCGGGCTATGTTTTCCCGGCTCGCGATGCGCTTCGGCCGTTGTTTCTAGGATTTGCGACGATTCTCGAAATAAGGTTGCAACCTGCATGAGAATAACGCAAACTTTTTCTCCTTTTTTCACGGAGAGCCCATCTTTTAACACCAGAAAGGGCACTGAGAAAAGACTCCTATTCCGCCAAGCCCGACGGTCAACACACGCCGATACATTTCCACGTCAAAACACACCGCGCTCGCTCGGCTCGGCTCGGACAAATAACGCGAATCCTCACCCTCTGACCTTAGACCGTGCGTAGGGAGATTGAGCTGTTTTGTGATTGGACATCTATGGTCCGTCCCTAAAAATCAATAGCTCCGGTCCGAGGGCCATTTTTGCCGTGCGCAACACGCAAAAGAATCCTACTGGCTCATTCTTTCGTTTCGTCACAAAATTCCACCGTGGAATTCCGTTTCCGCCGAAAACGAAAGAAACGAAATATCTAAAAACACGTAGTTTAGGTGATTGGATGAATCGTACACTGGCAATTTTACTGCTGTTCAACACAGGGAAGCAAGGAAAATTATAAAGAGGAACTTTTGAAAGGACTCAGGTACGATTTTACGAATAAATAGCATCTCTGACCACAACTGACCAGAAACTTTCCGTCACATTTTTTCCCCCTTGGTGCAATATTAGAAATGTGGAAAGTAAGTAAAGTTGCCTACTCACAGATTTTACTGAAGCTATTTCTTGGCTTAAAATTACTCCTGAAGCGTTTTTTAAGATGAAAAATGATGCTTGAAACCAAAGAAAAAATGATTTGACTGAATAATAGAGGTTAGGAACATACCCAACCTCCCCATGCCCGCCAGGCACTGTAGGATTTAAACGCTAAGATGAAGCATACCCATTGTTGCCCTTTTCTCAAGTTGTTGCGTTGGCTCAAGATCGTTGGTACGTTTTGGGGGTTTGCTTGAAAAAAGGCAATTAAAGAGCAACTAAATGCAATTTAAAAAGAAAGAATGTGGTAATAACGGTTTTCAATTACAAAAGTTTATTTCCTTTCTTACAAAAATGTACCACCCTAGTATCAGACAAACAACAGTAAATAAATAAGGTAAACCTACAATTACACTAGGACTGTTCATAATGATTTTATAGATAGTTCAGAAAATCAATACAATGTAATAAATTATAACTAACTATAAGAAAGTCACTCCCTGAAAAGCACTCAACTGGAAACATTGCACTAGTTAATGTGTGAGTCTTATCACAGAAAATTGTTTTTAAGTACACAGCCAGAAGACAACTATAGTCAAATGATACACATCAAATTATTTCCTCCAATATTCCATTTTGTTGTACTTTTCTGGTAAATGTAAATCTACAGTAATAAGCATGTACAATGGAAAAGGTTTCTCGATTGCCTTTGACACATATTGCATGTGGTCATTCAAACCATCTATATCCTGATTTGCTGTAACATGATGAAGATGTTCCACATTTTCAGCTGTTGCTGATTCTTTAACATGAGGCAGCATGTAATACCTAGAAATATCTGGAGCAAATCTGACAACATTCATTCCTCTGTTAATGACCCTCATGAACAAGTCATCGTCTTCACCTCCCCAACCAAAATATCTATTAGGAAACCCATTCACCATATGAAACTGGGCTTGCAGCATAGAGACAACGCCACCAAATAAAGTTCCATATGGAAGGTTGTACCGTAGTGTATTTACACTGCAAGACATATGCCTTGGCACACTGGTGCATCCATAAACATTTCCTAGATTTTCAGGTAGAAGATCGACATCATGGAAAATAAAACAAGGTATTTGCTCACTTTGTAGGGCCCAGCTATAGCCAATATTGAAGAGAAGTCCACGATTAAATGCCTGCTGTGCAGATTGTTCTACAACATAAATTGAGTATTCTATAAATTGAGCTTGAAGAAAACCATGAATATAATTTATAAAAGTGTCTAGGTGCTGTTTCCTATTTCTATAAGGAATAATAAGAGCTACTTTGTGCTGAGCTAAGCAATTGGGTGGTTCCCAACGTCCCCCTATTTTTACTTCTGATTCATTAAACTTTAGATCCAATAGATTGCCATTGGTTTTGATTCCTAAGGTACTAAAATTAATTGGGCAAAGAGGTTTCGTAATATTATCAGGTGGTGTCACCGTTTCAAGGTGCCTTGATATCTCTGAGGTTTCAATATAATCATACGACACAGCAAACCTTGCAGGATGGAACAAGAATATAACAAGACATAGAAGAGCAAATAAAATGGTAAGTCTTTTTAGACACAGGTTAAAATTTGTATGCACAATCAACATAATGGATGATTCAAAAAGTAACACTTATGTCGGGGAATGCTGTACAGTTTTTCATTTTTCTATGCTGATCAAGCTCCACGTTTTGACAAAAGCCCATCGTCATACATTTCTCTCTGAAAACAAACAGGCAAAACATGAAATTAGGGAAGATAAGTTCATTTAATTTTTTTTATGAACTAATAAATGCAGTCACTGCATTGAATAATATACGAAAACTCACTTTGAGAAGCATTCTGTCATCCTAAACAACTCAACATCAGCAACCAAAAAACAGCTACATTCTTCAAGCATTTTATGTCAGATTGGCATTGCTGATGAAATAAAGTTAGAGACATCAAGGTATATTTTATCACCTGGAGGACATCAACAAATTCAATATTACTCGAAAATATGTGGTTTTGAGCTCGTTTGAAGACTGCTTTGACGTTTCTGCTGTAGGAGGTGGATTGTGAATGAATAGTTATACAGGTTAGACTATACGCGGATCGAGGATCGAATGAGAAATTCAAAAAGCATGACTGCCGCGAGACTAAGGGTAAAGGTTAGTTGGGCGGTATGAAAAACTTACTTACGATAGGGTGTTTGAAATATGGGCTGCTGTACTCTTAAGAACAGAGACTACCACTAGATAACTAGCTCTAGTCTGGGACTATAATGGTCGAGCAAGTCCTATTTAATTTATTTTAAAATTCTGGTCATGCAAAATTTCTTTCATTGTAAGAAGTATTAAAATAAGCATACAGTCTCCAGTATTTTTCCTGTGATGTACAAAATTGCCTTTTTCACATTTGGACTGAATTTTTGGGCCCAGCAAGACCGTCGACATAAGGTCTCAGTTATAGCTTCAGCTTTAGTTATAGTTAGGTACGAGGTAATTGTTATATCAAGTTAAGCCAAGCCGAACGTGCAAGCCCAAGCCCAAGCCGAAACTAAAGCCCGATGCGACGAATTTTTCGGATTAAAGTAATGCCAGTAACACATAATTCTTGCCCCAGTAGCACAAATGCACTAAAATACACACTAGCTGCGGCAATGCGTGTAAAAATGAACTCTAAACACACTAAAAACATAACTTAAATCCGAAAAATTCGTCACATCGGGCTTGAGTTTCGGCTTGGGCTTGAGCTTGCGCGTTCGGCTTGGCTTAACTTGATATAACAAATGACTTCCGAGGCAGAACAAACCAAGCACCTGCCGCCCGTTTCGGAGTCAGCTTGCCGCCTGTAAACACCTGGGTAGGCACACCCGCCGAACAGCCCTGCGGAGTCGGCTGCCCACCCTGGCGGCGCCCAGGTGCGAGAACTAAACTACGGAAATCGTCAGGGGCGTCCTTTTCGTATCACCTTGACAAACATTCATTCTGGGAGCTCCGTTAGAGGAAAAGACAAAGAAATTACATATTTCAGCTCCGTATTTTGAGAGTAGAGATAGTGGCCTCATCACTATCATTCAGGCTTCACGATGGAAGTACCCAAACTAGAAACTGGACAGCTTTAGCATCAGCAACATAAAGTTTAGATTTAGAGGAACAATAACTTTTGCTAAGTAGTGCCGGCCTCATCGCCTTGACAACTGAAGTAATAAAGTACAAAAGTACTTATGGTCATTAAAATAAAAAGATCACAAGTGCATAGTAATTTGTTTATTTTCAAAGCCAACAGGAAAAGAATCAACTAGATAGGATAGCATTTATCCATAAACAGCAGCAGAGGATATTTGCTGTCAATTATCACAGCGTAAATCATAAAATATATCTCCTCTTGACCAGTTCAGAAATTAGAGCATTCAGAAACTTTGCACATGTCGTAAAGCTGCATCTTGTGAGGCTTCTTTAAACTGACTAGCCACATGAAGCAACCGGAGACTGCTGGTTCTGACAGGGCACCTGTAGCGAAATCCGAAAACTGTATGACAAATCTGTAAACAATTACAATGGGAAGTGAGGTAATTAGTTCATTAATTATAGAAAAAGGAAGAATGGATTGAGGGTTGAAAAAACTCACCTTGAGGAAACTCGCCAACACAAATCCAACTGAAAGTTTGCATTGAAGATCTCCTTGGTGGTTGACGATATCTTGAAAGCAAAGATGAAAATCTAAAATCAAACAGCAGTGGAGGTAACGACTGAATAAAATCCTCACCTCG